CAGCCACTCGTCATGATCCGACTCTTGGAATTAACTCTGACAAGCAAACACAAGGGTGGACTCCATCTTCGGTGGTGAGAGGACCACACAGTAAGTCTTCATCGTGCAGGTGGTCTCACTGAGCCTCCCCCAAAATAAGACAGTGACCGAGGGACATCCTTAATTTTGACCATGTCACACTGAACACGGGGATCCACATGAGGTACATCCTAACCCACTACCGACAGAGAGATGAGTGTTTTCTGGGTTGTGAGGCCCTGTACTTGTCTGTTGCAGCTGAAGGTGGTGACCCCTGACTACTCAGGTTCAACAGCACTGACTTCTCGACCCATAGCAATCAGACCTTCCTGGTTGTCTGTTTATTAGTTACAGTTTCTGGACTGTCCTGGATGAGTCTTACCTGCTTAGCTTCTGATGAGCTCAAAATTAACAATCATTAAGGCTGGTGGACAAAGATAATCCATGCTACCAACACCATCAAGCCCAATAGAGGTCACAGCATCTGAAGTCTTGATTGACATGGCAGACTGATTTTTCCAAATGAGGATAAAAGCTTCAGAGAAACAAACAAACAAAACAAAACAGAAACAGAAAGCAAAAGCAAGAGGCCTGGAGCTTGGGTGGAAACAGCATGACTTTATCCGCAGTACCCCTGCCTTCTGCCCATCTATACAGTCTTCTATTTTGCCAGCCACACCTCTCAGCCTGAAGCACACTATCCCACAAGCCACGCCTGGGCTGGCAGCCTCTTCTGGAGTCCTGTGTTTAGGCTTTCATCCCAGCTGTGCCCTTCCCTGCACCAGCCTGGCCTGTGATCTTCCCACCCATCCTTGGGATCCTACCCCCTTGTTCCTTCTTCCCAGCTTCCTGTGAGACATAGGTGCCAGCCAGCCACTGCTCCTTTATGTGTCCTATTCAGTCATCGAGCTGGAGTGCCTGTGCAATGCAAGGTCCTGGGGACCTGACTCACAACTCTTTCTTCAAGGGCTCTTGAGGTCTCCATGGAGAAGACAGGCATTAAAATTCAGCAGATCAAAGGGAGCCTGTCTCTGAACATTATAAACCAAATAACTACATGCCTATAACTTTATAAATGAAGGGATTTTTAGAAACTTGGGCTTGAATAGTGGCCACCGAGGGGTTGGGAGGGAGGATGGCTCATGGAAAAGGGGTGATGAGCAGTATGCTGCAGGTTTTGTTTGGGACTTAGTCTATCCTGATTTATGAGGGTAAAGATGCTTCTATGAGTGATGGGATGGCAAAGGATGGGGGACACACAGGTATGTACAGGAGCCCAAAAAATATAAAGAGGATGGAATGTCCACACCAATGTCCTTAGAGGAGGGTGGAGTGAAAGACACAGGGTCTGCACTGGCTGATGCAACTGTGGATCTTCACAGATGTCCACCCGCAGTTCCCCTGAAAGAGAAAGAGGGGCCTAGGCAGGCCTGTCTTCACCCTGCACCATGGCGCTTACTCAGAGGCAACCTGAGCCATGACTGGGGAGGAAGTATCCTTGCAGTGACTCTCATATGAGTCCTCAGCCTCTGGGATGGAGCCTCTGTTTTATTTTCTGCTAAGTGTACTGAGTTGCAGGCACCGCTTTGATGGCAGATGTCCTTTGAAAGACACAGCAGTCCCTGTTTTCAGCCCTTTCAATCTCCAAATTGCCCAGCACTTGGTGGATACAGATTGCAGAGCTGGCCATAGCAGCCCCATTAGCACAGCTGTGTCTCTTTCATTCCTGCTTGTCTCCTGGCCAGCATTAGCCAAAGTCCCTGTCCCTCTCTTAGCATGGTGCTAAAAGCAGCCACTAATGTGCCCTGCGTCACGAATGTCCCACGCTGCTTCCTGTCTAGAACACAGGCCACTTTTCAAAAGACGGCTGAGGACCAGTGTTATCCGAGGCTGTGTTTCTGTATAGCTGGGGTCACCAGCTATCTCTCTCAGAATTTGAGTCCCTGCCACCTGCACACATCCATTAAGCCAACACCACAGGCTTAGTTCTGCTACTCATAGCTCATTCCACTCTCTTCTGTATTTTGTATCGGCTAAGATTCAGTTTGGCCCCAAGTGGTAGAAATTATAAAACAGCAATAGCTTAAACAAGGCATGTGAGTCTCTAAGTGGTGTAGGGATGAAGTAAAGTAGAGAGTGGGACCCATGGGGACAAGGAATCTCTCCCATCCCTCCTGTGGCCATGGGAACTGATGGCTGCCCCAGCTACAACCAGCATATTTTCATCAGTTCTAGGAAGAGAAGACGGGGAATAGACATGCTGTCTCTACCCTGAAGAGAGACTTCTCGAAATGGCCTTCCTTTGATGAGAATGTAGTCACATGTGTGCATCTGCCTGGAGGACGGGAAACGTTCCTGCCCGAATGGACAGCCCCTGCATAGTGAGATTTCGGGTGCTTTCCCTGGGCAAGAAGAGGTGGCCTGTACTGGTGTATTTGTTGGTATGTGGCCTCCTACAGCCAATAGATGAAGAGCTTTTAAGTTAAGCCTCCAGAATGCTTCTTCATTATGGCAGAGAGGACCGTGGCTGGGTAGGTTTGGGAACAGTGGTGTAGACTGGGGATTTGAGCTCACAAATCTCCCCTCCCGGTGCTGCCCTGGCTCCTGGCTATCTGGCTGGATCATCTTTGAAGGAGGCCACTGCCACTCTTCATAGGGACATAAATGATGTCCCCCTGGCCAATAACATTCCGTGAGAGTTTCTGTTTGCAGGTGTGCATATTAGCTTGCATCCTTGCTCGTGTGTGTTTCAAACATCCCCTCACTCTGCAGCCCAGGCTGGCTTGCACTTCTGCTCCCCACAGCCTTCCCTCCTAGGGGGAGGGTTACAGTAGGCTCCCCACCATGGCAAGAAAAGGAAAGTTTCTCAACTGCAAGGTTTTCTGTGTGCAGCAAATTCTACAGGCCAGAAAAGCACGGGGGTTCGGCAACTCAAGGGGTTACTGCCTGCAAAAATAGATTATTTAATTGAATGAATTTCTAACATCAGTGACTGCAGATGACTTTAGATTAGCCAGTCATTTGGAAGCTAAGGTTCTTAATAAAAATAGATTTCCCTGAAAATATTTACCACTGTTGTCTTATTTTACACTCTAGTGGCACCAGCAAGAACCGGTTTCATTCATGAGGACATTAAAAGGCCACTAGAGGTGGCTGATTTTCATGGACACTACCTGATGCTGGCATCTCCAACAGAAACCATCTCAAGGCTATGGGTACATTTGACTATTTCAGATTCGGCTTGGTATACTGGGGACTGAACCCAGGGCTGCTCTGCCATGGAGCCAGCCCTTGTTTAGAACATGAACCTGTGGGAAGAACCAGCCAGCTGGCACCCAAGAATGTCTCCTGTAGACATCAGCAGGAGAAGAGGGCAGTATCCAGCTGACATCTAAATGAGGATGAGCTCCCATGTCACACTTCTGAAATTCGCTGCACTGGATGTCAGAACCTCAAGGTCTGTGCCTGGAAAAAATGGTCATAATCTGCTGTCATGGGAGATGTGGGGAACTGTGGTACAACTATCTAAAAAGGTTGGCAAGATCAGTATTAAAGCATGTCTAATTAAATATCTACACAATGTAACACTTTGCTCTCCTTGTTAACTGCTGAATCTGCATTCATTAATATCTCATGAGTGTTTTATTACTTTTGGAAACAATGTGCTGGAGAGCATCTTACAAGGCAAGAATTTGCAAAAGTGTGCCACAAGACCAGAGGAAAGCCAGTGGAGCCACCACTCAGGGCTCACTTACTGAAAACTTTTCAGGAGCATCTGCTAACATGTTTGTCCTAGCACGAGCTATCATAATGTGTTTGCTGTGAGCTTAGGTTTCCAAGAAGGGATGGTGTCAAGCTCAGGTTCCTTAGATGATCCTGGAAGCAAGTGTTGCAGGCTGCTGTAGCTATGAAATTTTGCTGTTGGAGCGCAGAGTGGCCTGGTGCCACAAGCATGGCTGAGTGTCAATAAAACTTTATTTACAAGAACAGACAATGGGCCAGCTTCCTCCACAGAGGTCATTTTCTTTCTCTTGTCTTAGCTCTAGAAAGATCTGATGACCATTTATCAACCTTAGCCAACAACTCAGACTCAATATATTTTTTTCTTTTACTAGTGTGTGTGTGCATGGGTATACATGCCATGATGCACATGTTTACATCAGACAACAAACTCTGAGTCAGCAGTTGGTAAGTGCTCAGCTTTTTAAAGGGGCACATGTCCTTGTGTATACGTTTTGAAAGAATGCTTCCACCCTGCCCCACCCCACCCGGCTTCTATCGAACAATTTACATGAATGCTAAGTGGACAACAAAATCCAGTAAAAGGCTACCGTCTTGTTTAAACAAAAATCTAACCGGAATGTGTTTCTTCAAAGTTTTCTAAAATTCTTTTCCTATGCTGATACGAGGAAGTTAAATCGTGGTGCATCTTAGATTTTCAAAGCACGTTCTGTTTCTACAATTTTAAGCTTAATTATTTTTCTCAAAATAACATAGCTGGCTTAGCTAATCAAAGCGTGGAAAGGGACTGTTATCTTTTAAGAAATCACTGCAAGTACTTATTACAAATACTCTAGGAAACACTTTCCCATTTATTACCTTTCCTCACTTAAAATGAAGCAGAATGACAATTACAGGAATGTAAATAATCTTTTAAGAACCCACTTTCATTTTATTTTCCCAGAATTACCTACCGCTGGCCAAACAGCCAGGTGATCCATGGCTTGTCCTGTCACTCACCATCAGAACCGGGTCACCAACAGAAGCAAAGAATTAATGATTCAACTTGAGTTTTTCCAGAAAAAAAGAAAAGTAACAAACCAAATTTATAAAACACACGACCACAATCCCATTTTGCTTTATCAGACCTTGAGTTTGGATCCACATTTGATCCTCATCCTAGGATCATGTCTTAGGTTCCTTCCTGATGCTGTGATAAAAAGACTCTGACAAGAACAACTTAAAGGTTTATTCTGGCTCATAGTTCAAGGGTACAGTCCATCATGGCGGGAAGTCGAGATGACAGGAGTCTAAATCAGCCAGTCACATGTGTCTGAGATCAGAAAGCAGAGAGTGGCGGGTGCTGATGCTCAGTCCAGGAGCCCAGCCAGGGAACTGGTGCCACTCACAGTGGGCAGCTCTTCCCAACTCAACTAATGCAAACAAGATAATCCCCCATGCCAGAGGTGTTTCTCAAGTGACTGTCAAGTGTGCAACACTAACCACTGCAGACTAGGAAGAAATAAAGAATAAAGAACAAAAGAAGAGCTCCATGAACAGTGACCATTGTCCCAAATCATGCCCATCACATGCTTTTATGAAGGAACCTTTGGTGCAGAACATACTGCTTCGGATGGAGCAGAATTTGAGCCCAAGCAGTCCAGCAACTCAGGGGAGAGGTCCTGCTCCAAGAAGGACAGAGAGCTGAGGGTCTCAGCTTCCTCACACTCTCCCTCCTCTCTGTAGACATGAGGCAGGTGGCCAGCATCGCCTTCCAGAACATCAACATGCTGGAGCTTCTGTGGAGAAAGCCAGAGAAGGAGGCATTCACTGTTACAGGTGCCAAACACTGTCCTGTAGGCTGGCTGTGAGGAAAGTCTCAGGGAGTGCTGGTGGGAAGAAGGCCTCAGCCCAGCAGACTGAGCCGTGGTGCCCAAGCTGAAGCAGGAGACACTGCCTTCTTCATCGCTATTCCAACTATGATGCCGACCATCTTAGGTTTTGACAGAAACCCCTCCTCAGGATTTCTCTCCCTTCTTGCTCCCTTGTGCACTCATCCTTGGGCACAGTCCTGAGCCTCCCATATCCTGGACACTTCCTACTTATAACTCACCTGGATCCTGGATCTTCACTCAGGACAGTGTCCCATCCTTTTCCACCCTTACCATGCTTCTTGTCTGAGGACACTTCCTTAGTCACAAATGTCTTTTCAGTCTGCCCGCCCTTTGCTATCTCCCCACTCAGTCTGCCCTTAAGCATCATCTTGACTACTGCTACCCCATTCTGGTCCCCCACACGCATGCACAAGCCACGGTGTCACCCACTCCTTCACAAAGATGATGGGTGATCACTTTCTGTCTGGAGTAGTCGCTCTCACCATATCTAGAGCCAAACACTCTACCTTACCTTGCCTGGGCTGCTCCACAGGGACAGACACACAGATCTCACACTAAACCTCCTCTTGCCCTCCAACCACCTTCTCCATCAGTGTTCCTAAATACCATATCACAGAGGCTGACACATGACAATCCTTAAGACAAACCCAGCCCAACACCTGTTGAAAATAAAGTTTTGTTTCAGCACAGCCAAGCTTCCAAGCCCTTACAATGGCCAAGTGGAGAGGCTGGAGTTGACCATCAAGTCCTAAAGTATTTCCTGTCTGGATCTTTACAGGAAGTTGATCAAAAGACTGACCACACATGATGATCCTAGAAGCTGTTGGGATAAACTTAGCTCTACAGGTAGCTACTTTACTGAACATAAAACATAACAAAAAACACTCCACAATTTCACAAACACCATTGGTTAGCTCACAATACAACTAAAAGTCAAAGTGGCTGATGGCTAACAGTGAGTGGGTGAGGCATTCTTAGGAAAGCTGTGTGAAGCCCTGAGCATGTGAATCTCTAGCATGGTTCATACTATGGTGTCCTCAGCAGTGCAGCTATGTACAGAATCCTTGCATTGTTCATTGTGTCCCCACCACCACTCCCACAAACCTGATTTTGTCCCCTCTGCCCCAACACCTTGGCCATTGCCTCAGGCCCCCTCCCCCTCCAACCACTATAGTAAAGAATACCAGGAGTCAATTAATCAATCCTGGATATACCCAGTGGCTGAGCATAAACTATGGATAACAGGCATCAGGAATAGTCTCCTGGCCACAAGGCCTCCTTTGCCCTCCCTTCTGGTAACATGTTTCAGGGCTCCTCCTGGGCAGAATCACACATGGATTGGAGATGCTGGGCTCTGCATCTCATTTAAAAGCTTCCTTCTGATGCCACCCAACTGTGATGTGAGCAAGAAGCATGGATCCTTCACGGATCCATCAGTCACTGTGATTCTTCCTCCCACTTTCTATACATCCCAGCCTCTCTCCATTGCCCATACTCTTGTCCACCCTCTGGATAGGGCCAGACCTATGTTCCAGTCTCTGGTCTACTTAGATTCCCTGTCAAGCTCCTCAATAGCAGTTCTTGGACTCTAAATCCCTAGCGATAGTCAAATCCCAAGTAAGGCAGCTCTCCCACCTGACCAGACCTATCTTCCAACCCCTGTCTCTGTAAGGCTCTCTGCACAGACCTACCCTTCCTGCCTAGGGCTTCAGCTATGCTGAGTCACTGGCTCTCACTCCTTCTAGCTTCTGCTGCTCTTCTCCATGAATGAGAGTCACTGCTCCAACTTCCTGTTTGCAAGCTCCAGCTCAATGTTCTGGACCCAGAGATTCCTCTGATAGCATTTCCTGGGTTCTTCTTCCTGAGTCACTTCATACATGTTTAACATGTAGGTGGACAGGTGGAGAGATGGAGAGAAGGATAGAGATATGAACGGTTGGATAGTAGAGAAATACAAAGCTAGTAGAGAGATGGAGGGACAAAGGTAAAGATGAAGGGACAGACAGATGGAGATATGAATGGGAAGCTGGATATATGTAAGCATGGAAAGGTGGATGGATGGAAAGCAAAAAGAGAGGGATAGGTGAATGATAGATAGATAGATAGATAGATAGATAGATAGATAGATAGATAGAT